TGCTTTTTCAAAGCAAGCACAGTTGTTTAAGCTCTTCCTTTTTGTTTTGGGGCAACCAGGTTAAAACACCAGGATGGTAAATGGACAGCTGGATGCAGCTCATTTCACCACTTGTGGCCTCTGCCCAGCGCTGCACAATGTCAGGGGTGCAAATGTCACACTCTCTAATCCCCTCACACCTGGTACAGAACCAGGAGCCTAGAGGATTACTAGATTGTTCCAAAATTGTTCACATAAGGAAGGGACCAAGGATAGGGACCAGGAAGTGAGAAAAAACAGAAAACGACAATTGGGAGAGAGACCTCCTTTTTTTTCACACCTAGATTACAAGGCTGTGAACCCAGGTGAATCGTCCCAGGGCCCAGGATCCCTGGCCCAGAACAGTCCTTAAAGTATGGGTGGTTTTCCACAAAAGGTGACTTGAGGGTGTTCTATAGGCCTCCTTTCTTTTCCAAATATCTTCTGAGCTGTCCTCCAATTTGAAATTTCATCCTTAGAATTTTGCATAACTTTTAAAGGCTTTGATGTTTTCAAGAATTTCTTATTTAAATTCCAATAAGCGGTTGCCTAAGGTCCCCTGGGGATGCTATTTTCAATGCAGATAACAGGGATATGACTGTAGTACTGTGTGCTCAGCAAAAACGTCATGATCCCCCTAGGACTAGGATACAGTAAAATGAATCCAAAACGACTGGTGACTTCAGGTTCCTGAGAAAATTATGTGGACCCAGAGGAATGGGGATCCTCACTACCTGCAGAGGGTGCTGCTACTCCATTCTGCACATTTCCTACTGCTGGGGCTTTCTTCCCCTCATTTCCACTTTCTTGGACTTCCCAATCCCATGCCAAGCTTGGGTCCTTCTGAAAGTTAATAATGTGTGAAACTTAGGGTAGCCTGTCTGAGTGGAAATGCCAGCTAGCCATGTGAATTGAAGCTCTTCCTGCCCCACTCTGCCCCTCTGTGCCTCCCTAGGTTGCTACAGTAAGTACATGTGTCAAAGTGTACAAAACATGTAAGCCAGGGCCAGCTTCCAGTCAGACTTAGTGTTAGGCTGCCATGGCTTAGTCTCACTGTTCATCCAGTTGGATCTTGGGCTCTCCCTG